ATATATATATATATATTAAAAAAAGGATGGCAAGTTCAATTTTAAATATTTTGCCACACTCGAACAATGAGATATGAAGAAAATATACAGATGGTAATAATTCATAAAAGACTATGAGATCAACTGCTAATTCAAAAAAAAAAATCTATATAATTACTGTGAAATCTGAATTTGCAAAATAATTTTCATTTAATTCAGAAATGATACAGTTTTATGCACTGAGTTTCTTGCAAATAAGAAATATGTTAACAATGTTTTTTAAGAAGTCTGAAATTCTTTTTTCCATTTGTTAATTTATATAATTTCAGATTCAATGCATATCAGCATGACACTCAATATCATATTCCAGGATCATCATCAAAACTTTGCCCAATATCATCCAACTCAAGCAATTGTTCATCCATAAATTTTCTAATCTTCCTCATGCAAATTAACGATTTTTGCATTGGAAATGATGCCAACTCTTCCGCAAGTCCACCGACTAAAATAATTAGAGAACTAAAAATATCAAAGAAATACATCAACTGAAAACTGTACATAAGATTACGGATAAGTTCTTGCAAAACGAAAGCTAATTTTTTTTTCTGAAAAAAAGCAAGAATGTAAAGCACTTACTAAAAGAGCTAATTCGTTTATGAAATGCCGTACTTCTGCCGTGACTGGAGTACCGAAAACGCCCACTACTGACTAAAAGCAATGAATTTTGCTGATGCTTCTGAAATATGCATTTACTATAAAACTGCGACATAAAATTTGAAAGTACAAAAATTTATCGAATAATTTCTATTGGTGATAAATCAAATATACAAACATTCTCTATGAACTGAGATTTACAATTCATTAAAATACCTCTGATGGTTCGAGAGATAAATTGTGAGAGTTAACAAATGACTGAGAGTTTCTGCTAGCAGAATCTAACCCTCCACCATTTAATTTTATATCGCTTGCTGAAAAATGTTTTGATATGCTCTAGTCATAACAATTTGTGCACTTAATCAAGAGACTCTAAGTTAAATTGAGAACTGATTTCATTGAATGTAACATAAACAAACAATTTTCTACTCAGGAATGAGGTACGACCAAAAAGACGATGATAATCAATCATAAATAAATTTTTAAACTTTAGCGTTAAAGTTTAAATGGCCTCAAGCTTGAATGATACTTTCATCTTTTCAATTCAATTCACAGTTAAAATTAGAAAACTACTCAAACAATCAGGATTACGTCATTTTTACTGATGTTAATTATGAGAGTGTAATACCAACCGACTGTAACCCTTTATCTTAATAATTTTATATTAAATTAGCGGAAGAAATACAAAGCAACTGATAGAAGGCTTACCACTAGATGAAGAACTACCTTCTTTTCTATAACGTTGTTCATCATGTTCATTATTTCCTGAAACTACAAGGCTACAAATAAACTAAAGACAATTTTAGCAATTTCTCTAAACTTTATCAAATCAAAAATTTTTTCATACCAACATATTCTTCCCCAACCCCTGCCATACCGCTATCATGTTCTTCGTCACCATACGTATAAATAACGGAATTGGATACGGCCTGTTCTTCCGAACCACATGCATTAGCAGAAGCCATCAATCTTAGCTCACAAAGCTGCTTTTTTCTCTGAATGTTTTCTATGAACACCATGAACAGGACAAAAATCGGTTTTATCAAAATCGATCCTCTTGTAAATCAAAGTTTTTGTATTAACGATATTTCAGATATATTACAAATTAAATCATATCTATTATTTTCATTCCACAAAAAGTGTGTCTTTTCATGCTTAAAAAATTATAACATATAACAGTCACAAATTTTTTATCAAAAAATATTTCAATATTTCCAAAATTAACTGCATATTTCTGATTATTGAAATATGAGAAAGCTTGATTAAATTATATCTTTCAATACTGTAAGATTTTAGTATAGGAAAATTGCTTATCGGCCTTACAACAAAAGCAGATCCACTACTACATAAATTACTCATGGTACGAAAAAAATTAAAAACTTCAAATTTAAGTATAACAGACATGACCTACTTGTTATTAACTTCGGTTTTAAAACAAAATTGGATTCAATATGAATTAAAAAATCATACTTTCTGGATTTCTTCCCATTCCCGTTGGGTTATGACTGATTCCGAAACATGTCTTGATCTCAAATGCCTCATCAAATTTCCAGAACAGGCATAAGCCACATGAGTGCCACACAATCTGCAATCAGCACTCTTCCGATTTCGGGTGAAATAACGCCAGCATGGATGTTCTGTGCCATGTCCACTGCGTCTCTCTGAACTTTCTTTGGCAGGTAATGGATCATCTGCTGACCGATTTACAGGCATTTTTAGCTGTGATTTTAACTGCCATGACTGCTCAAGCTCTGCAGCAATCTTAAAATAAAGTTTAAAATAATTTCTAAAGCAGCTAACGCATGAAAAAATTACTGAAAAACCTATCTCATGGTCCCTTCATGATAAAATGAATAGTTGGTATTTGTTATCTGAAAAAGTGCTAGATTAAGACTACTGAAGTTAATAGCTATTTATGACCGTTCTTCACTATCACATCTCTATCTACTTCGAAACGAAATAAACCTGAGGATGACAAGTTAAAAAATGCTCCATAACTTTTTGAGTACCATCAGACTTAACGCCCTGTGTGCAAATGCGGCAAATCATTGTATCAGGATCATCGGACTTGTGCATGTAATCCCAGCATGGATGGTCTAAGTTTCGCACTATCCCTAGGAAAAGCGATAATTTTTTGACTTAATAAGTAGCAAAAAGACATAAATTGTGAATTTAAATTTAGCACTACCCCACTGAATAATAACATGAAAAGTAAGCAGTCTTGATCAATGAACAGTTAAAACAAAAGAGGAAAACATACCATCATCAGGATTTTCAGTGCAATTATTAAACTGTTGAGAAATGATTGCAGATATATCAACTAGAGTATTTGCAGTAGACAAAGTTTCTACATCTAGCGCCTTTTCCGGTTCCTGTTCGATAACGAACGTTACAATACAGATATTTCAAGAAATAAAATCTGACTTTCTACATTCATTACAAAAACAGCTAAAATTACAGTCATATTAAAAACTTACTATCAAAAACTAGTTTCCAGATATTATTTAATTAGAAAAAGAACATACCATTCCAGGAATGTTTATCACAATCATTAATTTGATGAGAAATAACTAACAGCTTTCTGTCATCAGACAGTATTAATTAACAGATAGTAAGTATTTACAAGACATGCCAACTCTAAAAATATATATGACACTCTCTTAGTAAAGTTGGTACATAAATACATACTAAATTCTGAGGGAATGTAACTCAAGAAATTTACCATATATGCAAATGTGTTTCTAGTAATAGCAAAAACTTTAAGAAGAATCTTATAATACTGGCTCTATGAAAGCTTTTAATAGCACAATAAAAAGGGATTGTAATAGATGAATTATGCTCATCAACTTATTGATCAAACATCAGATAGGATTAATCGCGGCCTTGTCGTCATGAAAATATAGATCCATGAACAACAATATCCTGCGACCACTCATGTGATATACCTCTGATAGGACACTTGAATGCCTAGACTAACTAGGTGTGAAAACTACAACTAACGATGCTAAGTGTTATTTATTGTATTCTCAGTATACGGTTAACCTTTCACTTGCATTCGCGAACGCAAACAACGAAACTTCCATGCAAAGTCACCAAAATACTTTGTAGAAAATTACTCGTTCACACAGTAAAAGAATCACATCCATTTTAACACTTTTACAACATTCATTTGAAAATGTCAATCTTGTTTACAAATTATTACATTAGCACTGTAACGAAGAAGATATGTAAGAGGTATTCAACAGGATTGTACGAATAAAAATTGAAAATCCAACAATACAAAGCAGCTAACACTCCTGATATCCTGAATGAAAGTTTCAAAAACTCAGCTACAAAAATCATTAGAAAACTAAGGAGTTATTGAATGTACTTAAGGTAAATGTTGGAAAACCTTCTAATTTGTTCCAGATAAAATCAATAACAAAACATTAACAAGAAGCTTTCGTGCAAAATGAGTGTTTCTAAACTAGACATTACTGATTTGAAAATCTATAAAAGCATACCAGAAAATCACATGACTAGAAGGACTGATCTGAGATGAAAAGTACTACAAACAGCTAATTCAATTAATAAAAATATTCAATCAAGATTTTATCATACACATACAAAATGTAAAGAAATTAGGGCTCCACTTTGAAATTGTGATTTTTTGCAGTTAATATCAAATATTTAAGATCATGTTTCAGATCTTAAATCTAATAAGCTAGATATTTACATCAAAAAAATCTTCAGAGAGTATATTTATCAGTGACTTTCTTTTGATAGGTGGTTTAGTCTCTGATTATCTATCAAAAGCCGTGATATGGCTTTTTAAGCTATTATTTAAAGATTTGTCTTTGTACATATAAATACAAGCATCACATTGAAAAAATGAACAAAGTCAAATGCGAATTCAACCAGTGCTTGTTTGTATTTGCTTTATATAAACTCATAAGTCTGTATACATACATCTCATCTACAGCACCGTTAACTTCGTCGAATTTCTAAGTCACATTAGTATCTACTTCAGAGTTCTGTATACTTCCTTCCAATCCAATTAATTTTTCATCCATGTACTTTCGAATTTGACGCATGCACAATAACGACTTATGCAATGGAAACGATGCCAAGTCTTCTGCTAATCCATTTACTGAAAAATCAACATTACTGTTAGAATATCTAATATATGCCACACTGTAAATTAGGATAACTATTTTTTTTTTGGCGATAAAACTCAATGGCAGTTAATAAATATTAATAACCCTTATTTCAGAACAAGAAAACAAATCAAAAGGACTTATTAATATAATAAAAACCAAGATAAAGATAACCGAAAAAACTGATACGTCTTCTGAATGCATCATTTTTAAGAGCAAATGAAGTGTGATTGAGCCATGATCCCTTTGGTTGTAAGCTCTAAAAAATCAAAATTTTTGTCAGATGGAAAAATGACAAGTAATGTGCCTTAAATTTCATTAAAAACTTAATCGGTCTAGAATTTGCAATTTCATTCGTCCTATCATTTAAAAGTTTTAAAAAGCCTAAACTACACGATGCTAAACAGGATATGAACGTAGCATGAAACAAAATACCTGGCAAACAGCACAATTTTTAGCAAGAAATAAAACCAAAACAAGGGAAAGATATTTTTGAGTCGAAAGCTATTACATTTTCTAAAAATATAAAATGGGAATTTCTTCAGGTTGATAAAACTAAAAACAGTGTACATAGATTTAAAAAAAACTAACTGGAGAAGTTATCTGAGGTGGATTGGATGAAAAAGCAATTGATTGCAGAATTCTATTAGCTGTTTCACTAACATCTGTCACTTTTGCATCATCCAGAAGTGCTGTATCTTGTTGGTCAGAGAGTGCTTGATCAGCAAAACTATCCAATTTTACCTGTGGATCTGCAAAAAGATGTTAGCAAATGCAACAAGAATGACCAAAAAGGAAAATAATCATGAAACAAACTAAAATAATACCATTAGATATCGCTCCGTTATCACTGTTGCTGTTATTTTGTTCCAAAAGCTCAATATTACCTAAATATATTACATCAAGTAAAAGAATAATAAGACTCCGATAATAGGGGAATAAAAACAAAAATTTTTAATCAAAAAATTGGTGATTAAGAAAACAAAAAAGAATGTGGCTACGAATCTAATAACTTGCCATCCTCTTCTTCTTCCAATCCATTTCCTCCATCTAAACCTTCATTCTGTTCATCTTCATCATAATCATAAGATAAAAAATTAGATGGTGACTGTTCTTCAGACCCGGATCCGTTTGCATTTACTTTAAGTCGTAACTCACAGAGCTGCTTTTTTCTCTAAAATCATCGGATATCAGATCGCCCGCTTATGTAAACATTTTGATTACAACAAAATACAAAAATGAATCACCAAATAAAGTGCATTTAATCCTATTTTTAAATGTTACATGTTCATAATTATCTTATTTCTTTAATAGAAAATTACCTTCAAAATCTCTTCCCACTCTCGTTGAGTTATAGCAAATTCCGTAAGATGCCTCGATTTCAAGTGTTTCATCAAATTACCAGAACATGCATATGCTACATGTACGCCACACAACTTGCAATTAGAACTTTTACGATTGATTCGACAAAAATAACGCCAGCTTGGATGTTCAGCAGCTCGACCTCGTCTTTTCCACATGTTTCTATCTAGAAGTAAAACCTAAACAAGGTATATAAGAAGTCAATAATCAAAATATTTGACAAACCTTGGTCAGATTGTTTGGTTATGGTAATTTATCGTTACCAGATAAAGAACAAGACTAACTTACGAAATAAAGAAGTTTCCGTTGACATACGATTAAAATCTGCTTTCAGTTGTAGCTTCATTTGCCAAGATTGATCAAGTTCAACAGCAATCTGAAATTATCAAGAGCTAAGCACATGAAAATTAACAAAAATAATGGTAGATTACTTGAAAACTGAATGCTTACTTCCTATCTCAAAATACTATTACAACTTCTAACGAATTAAACTTTTCAATTTAAAGCAGTAGTCATTGATAGCTAATACACCAACATTAACTAGAAAATAAAATCACAAAAACTGAAAACTTATTTGAGGATGACAACTGCTAAAGTGCTGCATTGCATTTCGAGTATTCAAACACTTCACCACTTTAGAGCATATCCTACAAATCATGCAATTATGCTCATCCACTCGTTGTACCAATTCCCAACACGGATGTTCTGCCACACGACCACGTCTCGATCCTGTAAGCAATTTTTGTAGTAAAATGAAACAACTTGCATTTAGATGAAAAAAATAAAAAATAAACAAACTTTTTTCTGCCGGTTCAGTCCCTTCCATGATAGTGCCATAATTTTTACTTTGCTGGGCTATAAGAGTGGATATATCCGCAAGGGTATTAGCAGTTGCTGTTGCTTCTGCTACATTTGACTCCTTGCCAAGCAGTTCATCTTTGATATCATTGAATAGGTATGTGTTCATCAGCAATTTGTCGCAAATCAACACCTCAACCTCACGTTAAAAACTCAATACCTTCAACCAAAATTTTTCATTCCTTCCTATTATTGTACCAGATATTGGTAGAGTGAATTAGAGTGAATCTTTTCTGGTACTTTTAACGTTAAATCCTAGCGTAAATTAGGCGATATGTTCAAATGTAATCTTTTTCTTTTCCAGATCACTAATTACTTTCTAGTGCAAATGAAAAGTCATAACAGCAGGAAATAATATATATAATCAAAATTAAGAACAGTGATGAAGTGATGACATCTCTTAGTAATAATAACAAAACTTATACTGATAGAACCCTAACAATAATAAATCATAAAAAATGAAGATAGAAAAACGACGAGAAGCATTTAATGCTATTACAATTTTCAGTGCAGTTCAGAAACGTGGAAGGTAGTCAAACTTCTCATTTCTATTTTATTTTAGTTTATTCCAAGCTCAACATAAAGCAATATCAGAAGCAGACATTCATTGAAGTATATATTTATAAATAAATTTGTATGTGTATTTGTATATAATTAATTTTATATGCAATTAAATACAAATCGAAAATCGATAAGATACATTTTAGTTTTAGTTATTGAGTATAACGTTGCTACGCATACACACAGCACACATATATAGTACATACATGCAGATACATTTAAATCAGAAATCGATAAGAGACATTGAGTTATTGAGTACAACGTTTCTATGCACATACACTTACATATAAATTTTCAT